GATCTAAGAATCACAGAGACACCCTCCGGTCCCAGAGGCACTGGCGAACAGGTTTGGCTAGAAAAAAATAGTTTTCCTCATGTGATGGGCACCCTACCAATCACAAAGCACTTTCCTCAAGCCATCCGGGCTCTTTAAAGCCCAGTGGAGGGGTGAGAAAAGGGGCTTTTTCAGCTCTGGATGTGGGTCGGGATTGCTGTTGGGAAGCATCACAAGAAGAGAGGGGTGAGTGCTTTGCTTTGGTCATCGTCTTCCTCTGTTAGGAGGAAAGGAGGCTTTTAGGTTTAATGTTTGGTATTTTAGCCCCTGGGCTGTGTTTAGTATGTGGGAGTCTGGTACCTGGCTGAGGTTAACTGCAGAAGATAATATTAAGTATTTCATCCTTCTTACCTCAGGCTTTGTCTTCTTTACGGCTCTTTTAATCTGTTTCATATTTTCTCTCCTGAAGACTGGGGAGAAGGGAATGGGAAAATTAAATGTGTTGCAAAGAGTGTAAAAAAAGCAGGGATTTTTGCAGGGAAAGATGATTCCTGTAATTCCCCCTCACTTGTGAAAATAGGAAAGGCAAAAAAAAACCCACTCAGCTTGTTTTGGCTGTGCTGATCTAATGAGGGAGAGAGGAAAAACCTACCTCCCAGCTCTATTTCCCAGGTAATTATGCTTGATGATGATTTACCAGCCACTCCACCATTCACACAGGCTTCATTTCACAGCAATCCCTCTCAAAAGGAAACTTAATTAGTTTCTGACCCCTGCTTGATGCTGAGCTTTGGTTTTGCTTTATTTTTCTCCCCTGGTAGCACAGAATAATTGGCTGGCTCTTCCTTTCCTGAGCGTGCTTGACTCCTAGTGCACAAGCCCTTCTCTGTCAGAGGTGGCTGCATTTTGATACAGGTGGAGCAATGGGGGAAGTCCAGCAGGGCAGGAGGAATGTGTGGGGTTGTATGCTCTGGAGCTGTTTGCTTTCCAGTAAGTAAACAAGTGATGAATCGACACTTCTAGAGCGTTTGGCTTCTTACAGCAGTGTCCAAGCAACTCGTCAATAACGTATTTAATTGCATCCTCTTTAAAACTGTGTAACTCTGAAGATGGCCCAGGCACTTGGACATTATCTTCTCTTTAAGCCCTTTAAGGGATATATTTTCTGCTAAAACAGTTGGGGGGAAAAAGGAAGGTTTATTATTGCTGTTTGGCCCCTCAGGGCATCAGAGTCTAGAGCAGGTCAGGTCTGTGTCTCACAGAGGCTTCCCGTGGCACTGGCATGGGCACTGATGCTGGCACAGCACCTTGGGCAGCAGTTCCACCCCACTGGCTTCCCTCCATCAGTGCCCCAGCCTCATCTTGCTCATGCCTGTAGAAACATGCTCTGCAGCTGAGCACAAGGGGCAGGAGGTGTGGGGCCCAGCTGGGTGCGGGATGAGGTTTCTGCCGTTGGATGGGTTTGTTTAGTTGCGCTCGAGTGGTGCGGAGCCCGTCAGCCAAGGTGTGTGGAGCACATGAGTAATAAAACAAATGTGGCCCTTGTCTCTGCCTCCTTACACAAGGAGGTGAGTGCAACGCCCTGCACAGGGGCGCTGAAGCAAAGGGAAGCCCCTGTAAGTCCCTTTGATGTGCTGTGACCTCCATAAGCAGGGTGCAGAAGCAAATGACGCTCACAGGGTTGTTTTTGGACACTCCTTAGTCACAATTCTGGATACCACCATGAAAACTGGTTCAAAACACAAGGTAATCAAAATGCAACCCACTTCTGCATGGGACAATGCCAAACCAGTTCTTACCCACTAAGGTTTTTTGGATGGAGATGGAGTAGGACTAAGCTAAGCAGGCAGCGTTCATCTCTAAGGCTATTGAAAACCTGTCCCACTCTGCAGAAAGAGTGCGGAAGGTTCAAAACATCAATAATCCCAATGTGTGTGAGGGTTGAACAACAGAGACTGAATCCTGCTTGAATCCAGGAACTGCTGTGTGTAGGGCTTCCTCTGAGAGCTTAACTAGGGCTGTCACCTAAAATACAAGGGCAGAAGCCAGTCTCTGCAGAAAGGAGCATCCTTTTCAGCTCCCGAAGTTGTGCTGCATGTCGTGCAGAGCCACTCTGAGCAGAGGAAGGGAGAAGAGATGAAGAAAGCTACAAGGACATGAAAATAACAGGTCCTGTGCAACTTGAGGAATAGGGGGAAAGAGGGCTACCACTGCTCCTGGGCTCTGATGAGCTCAGCTGGACCTTTATGGGCATCAGGAGTGCATTGAGGGTTTGAAGGCAGAGAAGAGGGGAGATGTTGGAGTCTGAGTTCTGACCAGGGCATCGGGAAGATGAAGAACTATGTGCTTCAGGAGGGACATAGGTTTTCCTGGTACAATGGGAGCAACAGACATCTTTCCGAAGCTACTTGTAGCATGGAGCAAAGTGTGTGGCAGTGATAACTGAATACCTGGGACCTAGATGGGTTATGACTAAATTATAAGCTACACAAGATGTGCTGAGGAACACTAGGTCCATGCAAGTTCGAGGCTGAAATCCCAGGAACTGGTCACCTTCTTGAGTGCAGATTCTGGATAACAATTGCATCCAAAGCTCTGATTTTTCTCAGGGGTTTCCCTGAAGCCCCCAAGAAACTGCATTTGGGTTGCAAAAATGATCCCAACCAGTCTCAAGGAAGTCTCCTACACCTCCCAACTGATCAGTGTCCGCAGGCAGGAGCTGCTGGTTCCTGTCTCAGGGGATGGGAGGAGGACTTCAGCTCATGTCACACCCAAGGGTGGTTGAGAGTCATACCTGCATGCAGCTCGCCTTGGGCAAGCCAGCCAGGGTTTGCCTCATGTACCAAGTGCTGTGCGAGATGCTCTTGCTTAACACAGCTTAGCTCAGAGTCATAAGGAGCAGGCAGCCTGTGGAAAGACCCAGATCCATTACAGTGTGTATTGTTAGGTCTACATTAAAGGCTCTTCCTTCCCTTTTCCTCTTCTTGGACTCTGCTTCTCCCGCCCCGCAATCCCATTGCATATAAGTAAGGTACTTGAGTGCCTTAAGTTCCTTAGAAGCTTGTCACCATCCAGCTGATATCTGTGTGGTGAGGACTGTGTGCAGCTTTCCTCCCAGCTACAGTAGCCTAGGAGATGAGCTTGCCCCAGGACAAGAGGTTTGCTAACTTGGACTGGTGTGACTACATTAATACCTGCCCAAGGAAAGGGAAGAGTGAACCAGGTCCTGCCTGCCATGGAGGAGAAGAAGGCCAGCCTGTGGGGAGGAAAGCTCATGGACTGGGTGGACAGCACACATACAAGGTGTTGCTACACTGCAGGGGGGTCTGTAGGAGAAAAAAGGAGGGAGAAAGAGCTTTCTGCAATGTTAAGGAAAGGATTGTGGGTTTGGTAATCACTCTTGGTGTGATCTGTCGTGCCAGCCACACGGCACACTCAATCCTGCTGTCTTCACCTGCTTTTCCATGGAGTAGTCAGAGTTCACATGCCTGCATTCAAGCAGGGAAGATTTCCTTGCTTTTTTGGACTGACCTCTCACTTGGGGTGTCTCTTAGTTAGCAATAAGTAAAGGCTTTTTGAAATTCTCTTGAGTTTGCAGCACAAAGATCCATGAACCAGGCAGTGGCGTCCCCAGTTTTAAGATGCGTAGAGGACCACCATCCATCTCAGGTTTGGCAGACTCCACAGTGTTCTATTGTAGATCACAGGTAACCAGACATTGCCCAGACCCAGATTTGACCTGCAAGGCTGTTCTTTATTCCCCCCGAGCATTCTGGCTGGTGAACAAGTTTGTTAGGGACAAAGCTTCAGTTGAAGTTGTGAGCCTCTCATTTCAGATACAGAGCAATACAGCTTCAGGTATCTTAGGCTGGCCTCCTTTGGAATAAAAATGTCTTCTCACCTTGGAAATGACAGCCATCCCCAGTCACATTATCATGGGAAAACATTTATGTGGTCTTCTGTTTGTGTAATGGTGAGAGCACTGGAGATGTCTCCCCTGGGTCAGTAACCCCAGCAAGAGGAGGCACTAGTGCAAATACTCTGGCTGTTCAAGCTGCTTGTCCTGTGGTCTGCTCAAGTTGGGCCCTCTTTAGCTTTTCTTTCAGAGCTTGTATTTTCTTAACCACCGAGCAAATGCAACTGTCTTGGGATTGGGTTTCCCCCCTGTCTCCATGCACACATGTGCTCCATCCCTTTGAAAGAAGGACTTGGTTGGCACTGGCATCTGGGCTTGTTTCTCCAAGAGGTCTCACGCCTCTGACTAGTGCCTTTATGCTGCTCCCTGTGGAAGGGGGTGAATTCAATGTGAGGTGCCTGGCCGCAGCCTGCAGGATATAGCACTCTCAGGAATTTGCTGGGAATGCTATTTGGCCTGGGTCCCATGAGCCAGCTGCAGCCTGAGCTGCTCCATCCCTCCCTTGCACCTGACTGGGAATGGGTGTCTCAGCTCTAGTTCCTGGCATGGGTGGGAGATGGGGCTACTCTTACACTAAGTTGCTGCCAAGCTGTGTGCTATAGTTATATGTGTAGGGTACTGCTAAAGCACTGTGGTTGCCAGTTTAGTCCTGTTGGTAGTGCTGGCCAAAATTAACAGCCAGGAGGGTGTACAGCACATCCTTGGATAAAGCCAGCTCCTCTGGAAGAGGAGCAAGATGAAGCCACCGAACTTGTCCGCTGTCCATCTGGGTGTAGCTGGTGTTTCTAACCAGACGGAAATACAACGCCATGGGCTGATATTTGCATAGGTGCTGTTGTGGTGATGAAAACCGTACCCAAAAGGAAGGCAAAGATACTGCCCCTGAGTGGTCCCAATCTTCTGTAGCTCAAATATCAGAAAGAGTTTGAGTTACCAGTTTCACACCTGGGGAAGTTTCTCCTCTGTAACTGCTATGAAGCAAGGGTTGGGAGGTGTACAGAAAGGCTATCAGGTTCTGCCTATCATTCTCCTTAGGGATAATATCTATTTCTGAGTGAAGCCTATTATACTGGTCTAACTGAAGACTGCCTTTGGATTTTCCCAGGTTGCATGAAGAACTGAGGATGGCAAAAAGTGATGGCATATGCATCTTGCAGGGTCTATTAGTCTTTGGGAATGTGGTCATTGGGGTAAGTGAAGTGGAACAAGTATGGGTGGAGGCTTCCTTCTAGTATGACACTTCTTAAAACAGCAGTTTCCAGCCATGAAATCCTTCTTCATGCGTTAATTCCACACATAAGTACACCAGTAATGCATAGAGGAGGGGTAAAGGAGAGCTCTGTTAGTTCATGAGTTGGGTGGTGAGGGGACACCAAGGGACAGCAGGGGCTGATCCACAAGACCAACATGAGTTCTAGGTGAAAATCTCTTGCTGCTGACCAACATCTTCCCAGCCATCTCCCTCCATATAGTGATGGGTAAGGTTCTGTTGATTCTTTCTTAACATCCTCAAATCCTAGGTCTGGTCTCTGAGGTCTAGGCTGGCTGAGTTTTGTCTGCAACTCTCCTGTGAAGGCCCAATACAAGAGATTGTAGAGCTGGGCAGAGGAGGAGTTGGGTAGCTCCTGTTTGACAGGAAGTTGAATGAAAGAAAAGTGGTCTCCATCTTTTTCTGTCTCTTCTGTTTCTTTGGGGAAGCTCGATCTAATGGATTTCCTGAACTTGCACTTTTCAGATGTGCGGCATTGCCCTGACAGCAGAGTGCATTTTCTTTGTTTCTGATCCCCATGGTCTCTACCCTCTGCTGGAAGCCACAGAAAACGATGACATCTATGCTGCTGCCTGGATTGGCATCTTTGTTGGCTTTGCACTCTTTGTTCTGTCTATCCTTGGTATCATTGGAGTCATTAAGTCCAACAAGACCTTGCTGCTTGTGGTAAGTGTGGCAATGTTTGCCTACCTGTTGCTGCCAAACTGACAAAATGATGCCTTAGTTTCCCTGCTCACCTTAGTAATCACACGTTGAGCAAAGACAGCTTCTACTAGTGGCAAGGAGCCAAAGGTTCTTCTTGATCATGGCTTAGTGTCCCACATGGTGAGGACACATGCTTGAGAAGCTCCTAAATCAGGCTGAGGGAATGAATGGTGGTAGCCACAATGGAGGTTTAAGCTGACTGGCTTGACTCTGACCTTACCCTGAAGCAATGCAGAAGCACTTGTGCAATCAGATATAGCTGGGATGTGGTTTAGATCCTTGTTTCTCCCCACTGGTTACTGACTTTCAGCTGTCCCACACCATTCAGTTAAGGAGCTGATAAGTAATCACTTCTGTACAAGGCATTAGTATGTGTTAGTATACCAAATAAGGGTTCAATTGGGAACATTAGACATCAGCAGGCAGGCAGAAATTACAGGGGTGGGGACAGAGAGCTTTGGCTAAGGCAAGAACAATGTTAAGGTGTGAACAAATCTCTGTACAATTTCTCTCTTAGTTCCTTAGGTTGGCAGTGATTGGTGCTTTCCTTAACGAAGGGTAGAGCCGAAACCTCAGGAATCAGCTCTCTCTTGGATTAATGTGGAATGGCAGGCTGTCTGTTTTAACCAAGAGACACTTAGAGATCTGAAATCTTGTGCCATGAGCTGGCCAGCAAACAGATGAGGGAAGAGAATTCTCTTACCTCTGAATTTTGGTGTCTTGTCTGAAATCCAAGGCTGTGGTACAGGAGAGAGTACAAGGGGCAGAAGCTGGGGTAAGAAGGAAATAAATGCCTTGAATCGAAGAAGATCGCTGTAAATAGTGGGAGGAGAAATAGAGACATGAGAACACAAAGAGGAAAACTGGAAAGGTTAAAGGGATTGTGCTGAGAAGGGAAGAGAAACAGTGAAATAGACTCTAAGCTGATCCTCAGGATCTTTTTTCATGAAGGATCTTTGTTCACATAGTACCAAGGCCGAGGAAATCTCACAATGCAAAATCAGGAGGATCTGAAAGACACCCTAAATTGCACCTTCTGCTTCTCCAAAGTACAAGCTCTCCTGATAGGAGTGAATGGCTTCTTGCTAAAAATCTTATAGCTGGCAAGTGGAAGAGGAAGGAGGAGACATCGCACAAGCATAAGTCGCTAATGAGATGCAACAAAGAAAAGGGCAAACGTTATTCTAGGACATATCAGACAAAACATTTTCCATGAAGGCAGGGTGATATTAATGCCATGAGCTGATGAGATCTTGTCTGGGAGAGGCAGAACAAGTCCAGTCATACACCTTCAAGAAAGCAGAAGAGAAGGGCTGCATGAATGTTCAGGGCATATAGAGGACTGAGGATAGGATAGCCTGGCCTCTGCTGCCTTGAATTGTAGAATCATAGAATCAACTAGGTTGAAAAAGACTTTTCAGATTGGTTTCATGCTTAATCTTGAAAAGACTGCTTAGCTGTTCCCCCTAACTCTGCTGTCTGTCTCCCACAGTACATCATTCTGATGCTGATCACTTATGCATTTGAAATGGCTTCTTGCATCACGGCAGCAACTCACAGGGACTTTGTGAGTATTTCTTTCCTCAAGTATTCTTGCAAACCACATTGGGTAACGTTTCAGTTCCAGGGCACACGATGGTCCCTTTCAATGCAGTAAATGGCTGGTGTGGTGATACAGTTTAAAGCAAAGAACTGCTGAGATAAAATAAGACCCCATGAGGAAACTCTCCAACATTATTATCCTAATCAAGGAAATTACTTTGTTCCTTTTAAAATAGCTTTGTTATTTTTAACACTTTAAAACATTTTCAACCTTGTAGTTAAGGAAATACCAGTGTGAGTTAGCTGAATCATCGATGCAGTGTTTAGTCTTTCAACCATAGACTGATTATCATATATGCAGAAGACAAATCTTCAGCATTGCCCTAGGCAGTGTTACTGGTGAGGGGAAGATTATATGGGTTGTTGGAGATACTGGTAGAGAGGGAAAATACTTGTGGTGCTTTAGTTCCAAGCAACATATCAAATGTAACCCCTATATTCTGCACATCTCCTGTGATAGAACATCTGGTAGAGCCTGTTTAAGAGTCATGCTCAAGAACTATGTCTGTTGCTCCACTGCTTCAAATCCTGCCCTTTATGTAAAACTGGGAGAGAAGCAGCATTCCTGTTCTCCAGGAAGACACTGAAATAAGCAAACAAACCCACCCCAAATAACACTATATTTGCTTTACATGGTCACTTATTCAAATAGTTTCTGCAGTCTTCATTTGGGTTTGTTTTTCTATAGCTCACTCCAAATCTCTTCCTGAAGCAAATGCTGGAGAGGTATAAGAAGTCAGAGCCAGACAATAACAATGACAAATGGATGATTGATGGAGTCACAGATACATGGGATAAAATCATGGTTCAGGTAATAATAGCACAGAAATATCTCACTAATTACTAAATCCTCTGCAGCCCTGGAATTTCAAGTCCTCCTTGGGGCCACTCAGTAATGAAAGAGGACGGCATCTGCCTTGAACCTTAGAGAAAGTCCTGCCACCCTCCCTGCTTTGCTCGTTTATCAGACAGCAGACTGTCAAACGCAGGCACTCCAGAAATGTACACTATAAATCTGTGGTTAATGCCTAACCAGCCGTGTGGAGGGCTCTGACCTGCTCCTATAAAGACCATTCCCTTCTCTTGCCCTGCAGAACCAGTGCTGCGGCGTGCATGGCCCCTCCGACTGGCAGGAGTACACGTCCGCCTTCCGCGCCACTCACAATGATGCTGACTACCCTTGGCCACGCAACTGCTGTGTTTTGGATGACCAAGGGTCCCCCACCAACCTCGATGGCTGCAAGCTTGGAGTCCCTGGCTACTATAACAGCAATGTAAGATCCTCTCAGCTTTTCACAGTTAACATGTGTTGGTCAAAAGCACCTTGCTGGAAGGGAAGGTGTTCAGAAGCTTTCTGGAGGAGAAGCAACACCTGTAGTATCCATGTTGCTGAACACAGGATAGGTTGTAAAAAGGCTTTCCTTATGGAGAGAGAGCTATTAAGAAAACTTGCCTAACGCCATCACTAAGAACTGACACCTCCAACATGTAGATGGACAGTAGCTAAATCAAACTTAGCCCAAAGGTTAGTGCACACAGTATAAGTGAGCAAGTCAATAGCTCTCCTCCTCAAGGTAGAACTTTTCAGTAGACAGGCTTGTCCTGTTCGGTCTTATAGGTCACAAGCATCAACTACTACACTAGTAAGCATTTCTAAAAGGTGTTCAAGATTCCAAATTTGCTTACAGCTTCTTGTTTCTGGAGGTCAGCTCTGTGTTGGCTAAGTTTGGTTATATATATATACTCGGCAAGTGGATAGCACAGGAGTGCCAGTCCTTGAAGTGTCTGAGATGGGCCTACTTTGTATTTGAAACTAGAAACAGGTACTCTATCTACAAGTTATCAATAAGCAATGTAGCTCCAGCTTGCCTTCTTGAGACCCTGTGAGCTACCCAAGCTGCAGTAGGAGAGGAGCCTGTCACCTCAGTCTCTCTCAGAGGTGGATAATCTCATCTCCCTGTGATACAAGCTCAGAGCTGCTGCTGATTCATTCATTCACGGTTGTCTTACAGGGTTGTTATGACGCTATTTCTGGGCCTGTAAACACACAAGCCTGGGGTGTTGCCTGGTTTGGTTTTGCCATCCTCTGCTGGACTGTGAGTACCTAATACTTGCCTCTATTTCCGCTTCTCTTTTCTTTCTAATCCACACCCAGTTGGGTGGAGGTGGATGACAGGGCTGACTCATTTAAAGGGTCTGCAGATTATAGTTATTCTTTTGTCACCAATCTGCTTGTAGCTGTTTCACTGACAGGGCTACATTTGCGAGTTCCTCTCCATTCTGGCTTCCACAAGGTGGGGAGCTAGATGGCCTTCCAGCCTTTTGTGGCTTGCTGCCGCCTCAGTAATGCAACAGAGCCAACACAGCTTGCAGATACTTGTTTGTGAAGGGTATTGGAACACCTAAACAGCAATCATGACAGATAATTCAGTTTGTAGTTCAGAGACTTTGTACGAGTGTTCTAAGTACTCAGGGTTCAGCAGCTTCATGACGGATAATCCCCAACGAGCTGAGTGATCCACTCAAGTAGTTATGGCTGCACATGCCTTCTTTCTTCACTGTGAAGCTTCTGTGCAGATAAAAAAGCTTTAAGCTTCCTCTGCCTGAACAGACTTGGCTTATCAAGAATTTCTGTTGCTTTCTCCTACCAATAGGACCAAATGGGGTGGGGGGAGAGGTGGGGAGAAGGAAAAAAGGGAGCAGAGAAACCCAGTGGTCTTCTCATTTCAGTTCTTCGTCCTCCTTGGTACCATGTTCTTCTGGAGCAGAATTGACTACTGAAGGCCCGGTATCCTCAGCGCTGCCCTGAAGCACCATGTGAAACAGCATTTGTCTCCTGCTCCATTTCCCTTATGCCATGGAGGATTTGAAGTTTTCCCACTACCTCTCCCATATACACTTTTGCCCTCTAAAAACTTGACACATATTGCTGACAACTCCAGGAAAGAATCTTCTTGTCCCTTATTTGCCCTTTGTTCTTCAGCCTTAATGCCTCCTGGCTGAGGCACAATCCTTCTTTCGTTGTGCAAGAAATCCTTGGAGCATAAGATTAAGAAGTGATCTGATTTGCTCTATGATACCATCAGAAAGGAAAATGTCCATACACATTTGCTTCAGAAAAATTTCTCTCTAAAACTATGTTGAATGTAACTCATAATGCTAAAGGCTCCAGCAAGGGCTATGTGAGCAAAGCTGTAACCTCCTGTGACCAATAAAGACAGATGCTGCAAGAGAGAAGACTGCAGACCTCTCTAATCTATTTTATTGTTCAGCTTCTGTTCCTGGTCTCTGTCACCCCTTGCCTTAGAATAAGGTAGATTCTCAAAGAGTTTAAGTGTGTCAGCAGTAAAGCAAAGTCAGGGATAAAAAAATCTGCTGCTCGTCAAGCCCTAAATCCAAGCCTGCCTCCTGTCACTGATGGACTACTGCGTGTGCTCCTACCTTCAGAAGTGCCAGTCCAGGAAAAGCTCCACTTGCTAACAAGTAACTGCTTCAAAAAGCTGTTATGTACTTCACACAAGATTTGTGCAGAGTAAGTGGGGTCCTGTGCTGTAGTTGGCATTGTGAAAGTGGCTGTCTCAAGCCCTTAGATTACCACGCTTCTTGCTTCAGCTACCTACATGTGTATGGTCACATCCCCCCTGTACTTCTTCTTTCCACATACCCAGATCAGGTAGAACAAAAGGCAAATAATGACAAGGAATAATTCCTGTGAATAATGCAAGCAAGGAGCTCACTGAACCAAATCCAGTCCTTGCATCAGCAGTTACAGTTCTTGCTCTGCTCAACAGAGGCTGTTTACTTTGGCCCAGACTGATCTGGTGTCTTTCCTAGTAAACACTTCAATAGTTACATGTGTCATGTGAAATATGCTCCTGTATAGAGCGTTTTAAGGTGAAGCCTCTTCCAAAGGTGCACTGGTTCAGGTCCTCACACTGGCCATCAGCCTTGATTCTTTGTTTTTGTATATTCACCGAAATACCAATTAAAAAGAAGTGGAAGTGAAATCTTTCTCTTGTTTTAGAGTGTGTGTTTGGGAAGGGAAAATGGTAAACGTCTGTATCTGGTACATGTGGGACAGTGCAAAGGCAGGCTTTAAAATCATGTATCCTGAAGATCAGAGTGCCACTGTGCATGGTGCTGCAGAATCTCTATAGCTGAATAGGCCCTTGCTAGGCTGCGGGGGGAGAGAAGGAGGCAGCTATCAGGGTGAAAAGTTTGGGGAAGATCTAGGCCCCTGCAACATAGAAGGGTTTTTCTCTATGAGTGTGCCTTCAGAAAGGAAAATCCTAATGGATCTGCCACTTCACTGGTTCGGTGGCATGGTGACTGTCCTGGAGATGCCCCACTATTAGCAATTTCCATAAGGAAATTAGTCTTCAGCACTGTTTTTTGAGACTCAAGGCATGGATAGAGTGTGTGGACTGTGCATGTCAGTGGTCTGGGGCTTTTGGTGGGGGAGTTTGGTGGTAGAGGATTTTTCTGTGTATGTTGCTGTAAGCTACAGCAATACCTAAACCTAAAGAAGCCTAAAGGGAACGACTGTCTGCCTAAGTTAGCCAGCAATAGCAAAGACTGGGTTCTCTGCTACTTGCCATGAACTCAAATCTCCACCAACCATAACAGCAGAGAGAAGAGAAATGGGGAAGGAACGACAGTGCAGCCACAGAGCCTCTGTCCTTGCTTGACCAAACCCCTCCAATACCTCCTCAATCACGGCACCCTTCATGGATAGCTGCTTTCCTGTGTAAAGTTCTCTTGCTCAAGTTATTTCTGAAACTCCAGTGGGTGCATTGACTGGCTGTGGGACTAGTAAGACCTTCTGCATATGGATGTGGCTGGAGATATGACTTTAGGACCACAGCAGCAGGTAATGTCAAATACTGTTTTCCTCCTCTGGCCTTTTGCTTCAGACCCAGAGGTCTCTTCCTTCCTGCTGCATCTAACTGTGGTATGATGATAGCGCTGCTCTCAACGTAGAGAAAATGCTGCAAGACTTTGCAGAAGAGGAACGGAGATTATTTTTTTACATTACTTTGCAAAGAGGTTTTGCACGATCAGCTGCAAAAAGTTGCAGTATTAACTGCTCCAACCAGTTGCAAATGATACCATTGACCTATTGCATAAACAGCAGCTTAAGCTAATGAAGTTTCAGTTCTTCACTTTGCTTTCTGCTTCTTAAGCCTTTCCCTCACGTTGCACATTGTGATTTATGTTCTTAGAACACAAAAGCTGTGATTGACCTGGGCAATGGTGGATCTTTGCAGGAGTGCCAAGCATTCCCCAATGCATCCAGAAAAATCCAGTTTTATCCGCCTGAACAGAGGAGGAAGAAAAGGACTGGACTGATGGCAGAATGATGTTGAGCATGCTTGTGAAAACTCCTGCCCAGCTTTGTCAGGTTTTTCAGCTTCTGAAGGCTGATTCCAATCTCTGCAACTTCCCTACCTGGGATGCCAGGGAAAGGTGAGGAAGGGATGGAGTCTGTGATAGGAATGGCGGTGAACTGGTTTATGTGTTGGCTGAGGCTTGTAAAGAAATCCTGGTCATTCTCAGCTGTTTGTATTGCTGCTCAGAGGTATGGATGGATGTTTTATGGTCCTCAAAACAGGCAATATGCGTATGTGCAGGTAAACTGCTGGGCTAAGACAGGGTGAAGGGAAAACTTCTCCAGGTGGAAGCTGTGCTGTTTGCTTGCAATTTGTTCTGTACATTTCTTCTCTGTAGGTATGAATATTCACAGCTCTCTCCTGGCAAACAAAGCATGTTTTGATTCTCCCATGGAGTTATCAACTCTATTTTTAGATTATTAATTTACTGTAACAATCCCAGATTTGAGAAATGGGGGCCTTGCCGAGAAACATCCTCTGTTCAGACATGACAGAGCAGCATGGCCTCCGAGCCAATGAGAATCCCAAGTCCTCAGCTGCTTCCCTCCCATACACACACAGACATAACCTGATGCCTTTCACATTGCTGAATGCTTGAGGCTGGCAGTACTGAATGTGTCTGTTCCTTCAGGCAATGGGGCTGCCTTTGTATATTTTTCCAGCAGGATTTCCTACCCCTTCCTCCTTTTTCTCACTACTTCTTCTTTTGCATGAGATCTCTTTACACAGACTCTCTCAGGCCCTATTTCTCCTTACCTTACTGGTTCATGTACAACATACTATCTCCACTATATACAACATACTATCTCCATGCTTGCATCTGACTACCCACCTTACTGTGAAAACCATCAACCAGGCTGTCGGTGGTGTTTGGTATCCTCTGACTCAGATGATTTATCCCTCATCCTGCTCGCTGCCCTGGCATCTTAGATTTTCACATTCCTTAACAGGGACTTGTGCCAAGCAAATGTTTATTGGGACCAAGTATGACCTAAAACTAGCTCGTAAATGAAGCCTCCTTCTCCCACCCTTTGGCAGCCCTGCGCTCTTTGGCAACTGGGGAAAGCCTCTGCAACGTGTGGTATGCTGGGAACCTCCTGCAAGAACTCTCTCTGTAATCCCAGGCATCTATCTTGAGGAGATCCTGCTGCTTGAGGAGTTGAGGATGAGTGATGAGAGCTCATCCTCAACAGGAATAAAAGGTGAGGGTGTTTCTGGATGTGTTAGCTTGCACGCGAGGTGGAATTCCAGCATGGGCAAGGTCATCTGCAGTTCTTGCACATTCACTAGTTGAGATAAGCTCTGCAAGATGGCTAAGTGATAAGCAGTGAGCTGCTCTGCTACCCAGGGCTGTTACTGACCGTGAGTGAATGCAGGACTGAAAACCTTCCCTGTCTATGTATTTTCCAAAGCAATGGTCACCTTTAGAAAGGTCCTGTGGCTGGCACAGAGGCTGGAGGAGGTAAAGCCACCACACTTCAAATAATCCCTGCAAATAACCAGCCAAGTCTTTTTACACCCCTCTTCTGCCTCCACTGTCCGACCCTTGGTTTTTAAAGCAAATTATCTCACAATGCAATAAAAAAGGTGAGTAAAGCAGTTTGGGAACAGCAGTTCTTTCTGATGCAAACTTTTTCCTGTCTCCTATGAAGGAGGAGGGAAAGAAGTTATCTGATATTTTTCAGACTGGTTCAGATCTGTCTTATTGGCTGGGTTTTGGAGTTGTTTGGTTGTTTGGTTGTGGCGTTTCCTTCCCTTTTTGAGTTTTACTTACCTGGAATCTTTCCTATTTAATAATCATCATGTGTGTTATTTTCCCTTCTCCAGCTCTGTTTGTTCCCATGTTCCTGTTCCTTGGGGTTCTTTCTTAAGCAGCTACTAAGTTTTCTTTGAAACCATTTCCTCTCACTGATTTCAGATCTTTCCTGTTCTTTTCAGAAAAGGGATTTAAATGATAGAGAGATATGTGCCCCCTTTAACAGAAGTGCTATGGAAGAAAACAGGTCCAGTTTTAAGATGGATCTGGACCCAAAGTGCACAACATAATTCCTATGAATTTTCTACATTTGCAAAACTTAGTTCAATTCTCACTTGCAGTTTGAAAATAAGACATGAGAAAATAGCTACCTTCTTTTGGTATGGAGTCAACCAACCCTTCTTGTTTTAACATTCATACTGTATCTAACTTTTGGGGGCATAAGGACTTGGCCAGGTCTGAGCTTTGCAGCTCCCATTCATTTCTAATCCTTAACTCTGAAACTGTTCCTCTTTTACCCTTGTAGAGAGACTTGTTCTTTATTCCTTGTAGTTTATTCTGCTCTGACAGAAGGTGAACTTGGAGAGGTCAATGTCTTTATCTTGGCTATTATGATCCTGTTCTTCTTGTTGTAGACACCTGCGCCAGCTTGGCCTAAGTCTCCTTCACTGGGCTCTATTTCCTTGCCTGCACTGGCTGCCTTCCCTTTGCTCTCAATTGGCCTTTAGCTCCATCCAGTGGGATACCAGCTTGATGTTTTGTTGCCCATAGCTGGATTCCTGTCTTGAAAGGAGGATGCATGAGACACCGGTATCAAATGCTCTTTGGCACTGGGTTAGCTTGTTTCCTGGTTTACAGCCAGTTTGGGAACTTGCTTAATCCTGGTTTTGGCTTAGCTGAAAGTATCCAAGATGTTATAGCTGTTGCTTCCAATGCAACATACACAAAAGATTGTCTTGAGTCAGACTTTCACACTCGTAGTGGTGGGAAAGCAGGCAAAAGGAATTGGCTGGAATTGTGTTCAAGCACTTCCATGTGTTCAAGCGCCCTGATTTAGGGAATAGTGCTGACTGGAGCCTTTTACTTGATTTTCATAACCATGGGAATGCTGGGGAGAAGTTTGAGATTCTCCACTTGTCTTATGGCCAAGTCATTGCTAGACTCTGTGGCACAAAGAGTACAAAAACACTGTTTCTCGTACAGCAGTAATAGTTGGCTATGACTAACAACAATTTCAGAGCTCAACAGACATGGTTTTCCCTCACTTTATGTGCCAGTTGCCATGGTAAGCAGGAAGCACAACCCAGGCATTTTCCTAAATGGAAATTGAAGTCATGAAAGAGGTAGGAAAGGGAGTCAAGCCCTGAATTCAGCTGCTGAGGAGGAACAAAAGTATTCCATGTAACCTAAGGATTCATCTGGTTTTTAAGGAGAACAAAGAGCAGGCTGAGCTGCAGGTATGCCCACTGTGGCTATAACCCTACAGATAGTTACTAATACGAATTCACTTCCAGGCTACAGCTCAGAGATTGGGTCAACAAGGGCACTGTAAGAATCCAGAGAACCAGGGAACTTAATTAATAGTTAAGTTCTTGCTTGTCCTTTACAAGTCAACACAAGTGCCTACACCAGAGGCTTCATAGTAGTTTCTCTTGTTCCATCTTGGCTTCCCCTCTACAGGAACTGGGATCCCAGAGTATTTTTGTACTCAGTGCTGCTCTACATTATCACAGGCAAGGCAGAATTCTGCAGGAGATGTGTTAGATAGGAGGATGTGGTTGTGCACCACTGAAACTTCAGCCTGGTAGAGCTGGAAATGGTAAGAAGAAAGATGAATTTTACCCATGGAAATTTGAAAGTGTTTCAGATGCTTTGGTCATTCTACAGTGAGAAAAGTGTGTGATCAGGCTCTAACCTTCATCCACACAGTCAAACACAGCTTAGTGCCACTCACACGAAAACAGAAGGACTCAAACTCCACGTCAGAGGAACACAAATGCATTCGCACTGCACTCGTAAACCAAATCCAAAGGAAAAAGAAAGTGTTCCAAAACATCACTAGGGCACAGGTCTGTTTTTATAAAAACTCCAGTTTAATCTCATGGCTGAGACCTGGCAAAACATCTTTCTTTTTTGTCTGTTGTTTTTCTTTCTTTTTAAAAGCAAAGGCACAAAGGCAGGCAAGTCCACACAGAGAACAAAGCTGAACAAAAATACAATCCTTCAGAGCTAGCAGGAGAAGTAATCCCAAACGGGGGCCAGTGGGATGGGGACAGTCCTTTTCACAGTGTCTGACTTCCAGCCCTTCCCTTGACCTGGCAGCAAAGAATAATTCAAAGGGGACCAGTGCCTGCAAGAACAAGAGCTAAGGTCTGGTCTGCTGCATGGAGCCCTCAGGAAGCTCTTGCCTCCTGCCACCCTTCCTTTCCAGGGCTGTTGAAGTCCTGCTCCATCTCCAGTTGAGCTCCGTGGCAAGCTTTTCATTCCTTGCTTGGAGCAGGATTAGTTATCACTGAGCCTTTACATCAATTAGGAGCAAGCCAAAACTAAACCAAATAGGCATCAGCTACACCTTCTCCCCTCCCCTAGAGATTAGTTTTCCCTAGAAATGGAGAGAAGCAAAAGGACAACTGCAAAGCCTGGGCATGCCTGAAGGGCAATACATGCTCCAGTAGATTGTTTGCATCTCCAAGGACTGAGGAGATGCTTGTGGTGGCAACTTAAATCAGTCCTTGCACTCTTGTCTGTGCTGATCTCATTTCTTCTCTCTCAGGACAAGATCCTGATCAGGAGGGCAGATTCAAGCCTTTTGCCCACCACATATTAGCTTCTCCTCTGTGGGCAAAAAGCCAGTTGATCTCATACCCTCAGTACTACAAAACTTACAGCAGAAACCAGTTCCATGCATGAGCCCATTTCACAGATGTGCAGGATTCTATTTAGGCAATTCCTTCATTTTAATTAAATTTCCATTTTAATATTTATAAAATGTTCTTTTATATATATATATATATATATAAATTCAACACAATATTCACCACTACAGGCATTTCAGAATTCATAAAGAAAGAAACAATACTTTGATTGCACCATTTGGACTCTGGATGAGGGAATATGTTGCAGGATTTTATGGATGCTCTCTGATACAGACCTAAATTCCTCTGAAGCAATAAAGGTGAAAAAAAAGAAGAGCTTCAGTCCTTCTGAAGTGATAGCATGGGATAGACAGGTCAGAGGAATGTGGTTTATACCGTAAAATACAATCCTCCTGTTTACTCTCCTGCCAATAAAGCAGCTCCCACGTGAGCTAACATTCTCCATGCCCCTCCTTTCCATCAGGGGATTCTCATCTTTGACAGCCCAGCCATTTCACTCTGGGTTACTATTAACAGAAGCTGTACAAACTGCCTGACTACATGAGAAGAATAAGTGTCTCTTGTCTCCCATCGGTGGAAGCCCCCAAGCAGCATATGCTGGTGATACCACATCATGACAGATTGGGGCCATCTGCAGCCTTGACACTCTTCAAAATGTACTGCAGGGTCCCTGAAATGATCCTTGTAGAGCTGCAAATGATGTGCCAGTCTGTTCAGGAAGGTCCTTTCCATAATGCTGAGAACACCTGACTTAACTCTCCTGTAGACAAAACCTCAAATTCTGGGCAGACCCATCTCCCATAAAACAGTCTGTCCCTCTCCGTAATACTTCACACACAATAAACACCCAAACCAACCCAAAATCGAGCAAAAGAACCCAAACCCTTTCTTAAAGGCTCTAGTGTTGCAGGCTTGTCCTGGAGGGCAGGAGTTTGGTACCCACAAAGTACCACTGCAAAACCCTGAACTTCAGGATTGCTTCCAGTCACAGGTTCAGTCTGCTGATGCAGGATAGCAGAAAGCAAGCTAATAGCTCTGAAGCAAAGATGAGAGTGGGTCTGACCCTGAAGCTGACCTCAGGAATCTCTTAATAAGGCTGGATCTCAGGAAGCTCCAACCACACATTCAGCACTATTCAATGGGAGATGGCTTCTAACTCCTGGCTCTATCAAGTTCTGGTCCTGCAACTATCAGTATTAACATGGGCCCGTCATTAAGCATTACAAAGTCTGCAGAAGTCTGAGTCTGGAGCTGGGAATGGTGACCTCGGTGCAGTGGTGCACCTTGCACAGTACTCTCAGCAAGTACTCTCTCAGCTTTGCAGGTAACTGTAGATAGAGATGGGATCAAGCTACAGAATAGAGATGTCATTTGCAGAATCTCTGCTTCATTAAAACCCAGGACCTGGCTCCGAGTTCAAATTCCGAAACACCCTCAAAAAGTATAGTCTGGATACAGATTTTAGGTGAGGCTGATCTTTAATATTAAGTAAAGATTTAGAGTCATTTTCTCTTGCAGGAATTTCGCCACTTATGCCAAAAGCACTATTACTTACTGGAACGCTGTTAAGAATTAAGACAGTGTGCTATATACAAATTGCCAGACCTCATTTCTTGTTCACAGATCAGCTTATATGAGAATAGGGAGGAGGAAAAAAATAGAGAGAGAAGAACTGTTTTAAGGTGCCAAGGTTTCATCACATTTTCTTTTCCTTTCCACATTACTCCATGAGCTTTGCTGGCCCCATTCCAGATGCCTTGGCAGATAGAACTTCTAGGAACTGAGAGAATATAAATCCCCGTCCAAAGTAAACTGTTCTGTTGATGCCAAAAAATCCTGTGCATCATTTCCATACCTTTTACTTTCTCTATACTTTACCACAATACCTCGTATCACATCTTCTCATGTCATTTGCCATTAACTGAGCCATGGTGGTTGAAAGCTTTCCCATGAGGAGGTAAAAAAGGAATTTGGGTGCCATGTAAATGCCGAGCAAAGCTGTGCTGTGAAGAGCACTGAGGACTGGCAATCCCCTAGTTTTAATGGGAGGCTTCACAGGCATTTTATGGTCAGGGAGAAGGAAAGCACAATCGTCATGAAGCTGATTATTCTGGACCTGCCGTCCACGGCGTGCCCAGGTAAAGCATGGGCTGCAATCTGTGAAAGACCACGGACCTGCAACAAGAACTCCAGGCTCTTGTCCGGTGTAATATTCTCCCTCCACAACACTGACAGCATGGGCTTCATTCTCTGCTCTGCTCCCCCTCACATGGCGTTATGCACAAGCGAGAAGTACAGCGGGGAGGATCAAAAGCTGCAAGCACTGACAGGGAAAAGCCCTCCAGTTTTTTCACACTCCCTTTGGATTCTAGGAGAAAATTCTGCTGAAGATACATTCCTTTCACTTGTGGGGCCAGAACTTCTCAAAAGTACTCTGGCATCTCCCTCCTTTAGCAACCAGAGTGCACAGAAAGCACAGCACAGGCTCTGAGCCCTCCAGCCACAATGACACATGAAGTGACACATTCAGTACCCACCAGGAGCTCGAGGGTTTGCTAACAGTTTAAAAATGCCAGTACTTCACAAAAAAAGCCCTAAACATACATCTCTCAGGAAATCCTGACTGACACTCATTGTGGTGGCTATAGCACTTCCTACCAGATGCTCAGTTACTTCATAAACTATAGCCCATAATACCCACCCAAGGGCTTACAGACACAGACCTCCCCATGAATGATGGCCTCTGCAAGCACCATTACAGGGAAAATCTCAGTGCTGGCAGCAACACCTGTGCTCCCATCTCTGTAGTCTCCAGTGGCACTTAAATTGCAGAGACAGCACAGGCTGTACGTGCCTTTGCAATCACCCCCGGTCACATACCAGGCAATAGAGAGCCTGCTGTGAATGTAGAGTTAGAGGCTTTACAAAGGAACCTTTAATTCTGTTTCTGTGGCATCTGTTGCTTATATGAATGCGTATTTGCCTGTAACAATAACAACCCTTCAGGAGAGAATTTAATTCACTTCAAATCCCCCTCTCATTGTAATGTTCATTATCTGTTCCGCAGTCCTAAACATCATCCTCTTTGCCATAATCTCAACCCATCTGAAAGCAGTGAAGACCAAGGGAGGTGACAACCAGCTGTGGTCTCAAAGAAACAGTGTAAAACCACAAAGAGAGGAGGTTTAAAGGAAGAAGAAGCACATGGGGACATGCCACACAGTGGCAATGAAAGACCAAGGGTCAAAGATAAGTCAGTCAGGGTGCAAGAGGGCAGTAGCCCAAGGCCATGTGAGTCAAAAGATGCTCTTGCTTTTCCCCCGTTGGCAGTGTGGAGCACCGCTGGAGATAGTTGCAGAGGTGTCATCTGGCTTTAAGCAATGATGGAAATAGTTGATTCTGGCCTTTGTTAAGACTGTGTCTTTGCTTTCACCGACAGCAGCCTGAGAAGTCTCTACCACTGAACAGTCAGCTTCACACTCATTCCCCAGCCACATGGACCTTGTCCGCCCCAGGGAGGTGTGGTTGAGCACAACAGAGCTCATGAGCTGGATTTGGGAGATTAAAGGAACAGCTAGGTGTTTCCTGCCCAGCTGCTTCCATTCCAGCCCTTGCACATGCTGGAAAGAGCACATCTCTGACGCAAGGACAGAGCTGGAGGCAGCACCTTCAGGTTGTATGTTTGTCACTGCAACATCCTTGGGTGTTTTACACCCTGTATGACTTGCTCATGCCAGCTTCACCTTCTTCTTCAGCTATGCCCAGCCTCCTGCACTGTTGATTTACACTGTCTAAATCAGGCAGCAGGGAAGGATAGGCATGGTCCTTCACTGGTGGCTGGGAAACAATGGAAGAAGGTCCCAAACATCTGGACTTACCTCCTCAGCAGATGCTGTGCCCCTGCACTGTGGGCTGCAGTGCTTTGGAACAATGTTTCCCCCCAGCCCTACTTTCTAATTATACCAAGATTTATTTTTCTTTTTGTTTTTTTCATAGGGAGGATGGGACTTTCACGGGGCTTTGTTAGACAATGACTATGAGGAAATGCAAGTTCCCTGGGACTGGCTTGCAAAAAAAGAAGCAGACGGTGAGGGAATAGGCAGGGGTGAGAAAGGGAAGGAGAAGCAAGACAAAAAGACTATGAATCTCCATAGCAAAATGCTTTGCAGGAAACCCTAAAGGATTCGGGTCCATCTTGCACAAAATAGTTCTAAGAACAGCAAAATGGCAGCAGAGTTGGTCATGGACACTCCTGTCCCATCCACTATGAAAAAGGAATATGAGAGGCAGTTGCTATTCGATCTGCCTCACACTTCGTCCATCCAGAATCACAGAGCGCCTCTGGGGCTGGTAAAAGCAGCTGGTGGAGGTCTCCAGTCTCTGGCCATTCTTGGGGATGGTCATTTTGTTCCGCAGCGTCACCCCCTCAGGCGTTGTCCGCGAAGGCTCAGACAGATCGCCACAAATGGGGCTTGAAGAGGTGGTCTGAGTAGGGCTCCTTATGGGTGATAGCAACACCCTGGAGTCTGCTGAAGAGGAGGGGTGGTCCATGATGGGGAAAGGGGGACTGAAGAGAATCAGACTCTGGGGCCTGCCAGGCCTGGACCTATAGGAAGGCTTGGAGAACCCTGATGGCCTCTCCATCTTTGAGGACTGTGGGGTATCTCCAGCTGTCTCCCCCTCGGAGGTGCGCTTTCGGCGCAGAACAGGGGCATCCGTAGCAGGGTACTGACTGGACTGAGATGGCTCCAGAGGAGATCCAAGGCTGCTGTGCCAAGGGCAGGCTGAGTCCTTTTGAGCTGGGTCACTGTTTTCTTTCTCTGCTTTGGCTTTCTTCTCTGCCAGAGGGCTCTTGGGGGTCTCCAAGTGGCTCCATGCCACTCGTTGAGTCTGCCTGACTGCCTGCTTGGCTTCTGCTTCCTTCTTCTCAGCTGGAGGAGCAGCGTTCTGAGCCTGCAGGGGCTGGGGGATCTGGGTGTACTGGATCTTGGGCGGTATCACAGGCACCGCTCTAGCCTGGCACATCTTAATCATGAAGGAGGTCCTGACCGCCGACACACTGACGGGGGCAGAGTTACGACGGCCAGTGGTGGCATGGGCTACCGCTAGGTAATCCAAGTCTAGATCCACATGGGCATTGAAATGAGACCCCCAAGTAACGCCTTTACTGGCAGCAGGGCAGGCAGTGGGCAGTGATGGGACAGAATCACTGCTTTTCACTTCCTTCTGTCCGCACAGGAGGTTCCCAGGGGCAGAAGGCATGGACAGGCTCTCGAATGTGAAAAAATCTGGGGCTGGAAGGAGTGAATCCAAGTTGAGGGATGATGGCCGAGTCTTCACTTTACGAGGTGTTTCTTCACCTTTACTACTCAGCTGTGACTCAGTGGCAGAGCACAACGCTTTGATAACAGTCTCTCCTCCCAGGGCAGGGTCCTGAGACATGGATAACTTCTCCTCTATGTTCTTTGCCTGTGAAGAGCTGCCTGAGCTATTTTGGTATGGTAAAGGCAGTTCAAGCTTTGAGCTCCAAGGGTTTTCTTTGCTCACATCCACTTTCTTTTCCTCTGGCTGTGAAAGAAGGATTCTGGAAGGTGCCTCCTTCTCAGCTGGTGCTTCCTCCCTGGTGAGGGGGCACCTCAGCTCATCATTTTTGGCAGGTTCTTCAGGAGGACTTGTGCCATTCTCACCTTGCTTAACTTTGCCTGAACTAGACAGGGAGACGGGTTGTGTCTTGGGCAGCTCACAAGTCACTGGCAGAATGTCACTGCATGGCTGCTGTTGGTCAGTGGCATCTATGAAAGAGAATGGGATAGTCCACAGACTCATCACTGTGTCTTTACTGTCCAGGGAGAGGCTGCGGCTGAATCGTGGTCTAAGAGAAAGGCCTGTCTCTGCTCTCTGGCTCTGCGGCTGAAACTCCTGTATCATCTTCTCCTGAATGTCCTTAAAGGTGGGGGAATGGAGTGGGCTTGTAACCCACTGGTGATCCTCCCATGGCTCCACAAGTTCTAAGCTCTGTACATTATCTGTCCAGGTATCCTCATCATCCTGATCACCAGCATCATGGGTTCTGCTAACAGCATTGCCCTCCTTCAGCTCCTGGATTCCAGCTCCACCCAGTGCCTTGGAGCAGAATGTGTCCCTTTTATCAGCAGCCATGATTTCAGGCTTCTCCTTCTGAGCCTGGCCTCTGGTAAGACCATCCTTTTCCCTCTGCAGCTGACAAGTGCTATCTTTTTCTCTCCCTGACTCTGGACATGCTCCTTTGGAACAAGAAAATCCATCACTTGGAGCAACCTCATTAAATTCTGATTGACCACAGAGCTTCCAGTCCAGGGGAGGAGTGAGACATTCACTCACGCTGTCCACCACTGCGTGGTGGTTCTTTGGAGTGGCTGTGCCAGTTGGAGAAGTACCCAGTTTGGGTAGGGCTGAAGCACAGCTCTGCTGTGCAACCACATCAGACTGACCCTTGTGGAGACTGTCTTCTTGTTCAATGCTGGTGGCACCAAACAAAGGCACCTGAGTTGTTACCTGTGGTGTTCTGCTTGCAGATTTCTGCTCAGACAGGGCTGGACTCTGCCCTGGGCCGGAGGAGGAACTATCTGCTTGTGTTGAAGAAGAGGATTCAGAAATCAGTCCCATCCTGGGGACAGCAGCTGGCAAGAGCAAGAGCTCCTCTTCAGGCTCAATGATTTTCAGTTCCTGCTGTATCTCTGGCCACAGCGGTTCTAGAAGGGCATTGGCAGGGTCTTCCTCAGTCTGGAAAACAGAAGAAATGCCATGAGCTGGCAGCTCACATCTTACCAACAAATACCCCTCCGTCTTCCTCAAACAGCCCTCTTAAAATAGACAGGCTCCTGGATGAGCACACTGACAGGTACAGAAACACAGACGCTTGTACTGCTACCAGTCAAAGGAAGGAAACACATCTATAAACAAGTGGGTTTATAGAGGGGAAGATGTGAGGTGCAGCCAAAATGAGGCCTGGACAGATGTGCTGAAAGAGTGAGGTGAATGAGTAGCTGGAATGTCTCAGCTCTTCCCATTCAGGCTCTCTTGGCCTTGCCAGAGGATCTGCATTCCCAAATCGCACACAAACCGGAATGAATAATCTATTCAAGGAGCTATGCCAACAGATCTTTAAATAGCTGTCCAGAGATGAGTATTGCTGTAAGAAACTTGGTGAAAAAGCTCTGCTAGAGATAGAGAGGAGGTAATAGTAATCATAATAATAGTAGTAATATAATAATAATAATAATAAATAGTGTGTATAGAATGGAAGAGAAAAGGACTGTTCAGGCTGTCCAAGACAAATGGGACAGCAAAAATAGAAGGGGAATTCAGAGACAATCGGTCAAAATGCTCAGACATCCGGACAGTCTCACATCTGGAGAGTCTCAGAGCAGACAGATTGCAATGACTGCAATCATATAGTTACAGAAAAAGAAGACAAGAAAGGGACAGAAGGTAGTTGTGTAAAAGTAAATCACCACATAGTGATGTGGACAGAAGGGAAATCAGTACATGATCAGTTCTTGACCCTGCTTAGTCTAGGTCAAAGGCTGAGTTTTCGTGACTATGGACACACAGTGAAGCTCTAAACAACCTCCCAGTCACTACCGTGACATTGTCCCCCACATTTTTTCCTCATGCCTTCTTCCTTACCACATGTCTAAAGCATGACTCTTCTTCTGTCTTGGCTGTCTTGATCTCCTGCTGACCACAGCTGCCTTCTGAGGAGACATCCTTTTTCTTGAGCTGTCCTTGCTCGGCCTTGTTTGCAGGCAGCGGCCCCTTATGAACCTCTGAGGTTGGTGTTTGTTCCGAGGTAGGACTCTGCTCTGAGGACTGCTGGGGGCTGCTGGGGCTGCTGGGGCTGCTTTGCCCACATAACATCTCATTTTCTGAGGCTGGCTGTGGAGTTTCTAAGGACTCAGGTTTCCTGGCTTCCACCAGCTCCTCAGGGGGTGAGCCTGGATCAGAAACACAAATGAATGATGCAACTACTTAGAATCATAGAATCAGCTCAGTTGGAAAACACCTTTGAGACCATCAATCCAACCGTTACCCCAGGACTGCCAAGTCCACCTCTAAACCATGTCACACTTGACTTGAGACTATGCAGTGCTGTTTCAACTGAATGCCAACTAACAAAGCTAAAGAGCTCCCTCTGGGTGGAACAGGACATTGCCGGGAGGCCACACACCTCCCCAGTCTCATAGAATCATAGAATCATAGAATAGTTAGGGTTGGAAAGGACCTTAAGATCATCCAGTTCCAGCCCCCTGCCATGGGCAGGGACACCTCACACTAAACCATGCCACCCAAGGATCTGTCCAACCTGGCCTTGAACACTGCCAGGGATGGAGCATTCACAACTTCCTTGGGCAACCCATTCCAGTGCCTCACCACCCTTACAGTAAAAAACTTCTTCCTTATATCCAATCTAAACTTCCCTTGTTTAAGTTTGAACCCGTTACCCCTTGTCCTATCACTACAGTCCCTAACGAAGAGTCCCTGCCCAGCATCCCTGTAGGCCCCCTTCAGATACTGGAAGGCTGCTCTGAGGTCTCCACGCAGCCTTCTCTTCCCCAGGCTGAACAGCCCCAGCTTTCTCAGCCTGTCTTCATACGGGAGGTCATTACTGCAACAAGCACCAACCTGCTACCATCAAAACCCACACTGCTCTTGTAAGAAAGAGACAAAGTTGTAGCAACCTCCACACCTTCAGGGCACCTCCAGAAGCCCAACAGAGGCTCCACAGCCCTTTCCTTAACACACCTCTGGATGCTGCCACTGGCACAGTGGTCCCCGGCTGTTTCTCCTTCCTCTCCAGCACCTGCTCTGTCCTCGTGTGGGTCCCTGCTTCCAAGGCAGAGGGGTTCGTGTTCTCAGCCACCAGGGAGGACAGCTCCTCTAGGCTGGAGAGGGAAAGCTTCTCCTTGGTGGGCACACGGCATGGGGTGCTGTTGGTGCTGATGACTGCAGATACTCGCAGTGGGACAGAGACAGCGAAAGGCTCTGAGATGTTCAGGGCTTTCCTCTGGTGGCGAGGGGAGGCCTCCAAGGGGAAGAGGCTGTTTGGGAAGCCCGACTTGGTGCTTGTTTCACACGTGTAGAACATGCGGCCGCCTTTGGGGGAAGTCTGCTCGTTCTCAGCATCCTCTGCTGCCCGGAAGACCTTCAGCTGCTCAGGGGGTGACTTTGCCTGTGGTGTCCGGGGGGGACCTTTCTCCCCACTCAGCTCTGTGCTTCCTCTGGCTACCATGGCAGATCCTTCCCTCTCCCACTCATTCTCCTTGCTGAGGTCATACGAGCTGCCTGTGCCTCCTGTGCGTATCTTCATCACCGGAACAAAAAACCCTCCAGTAGTCACTGCCCGTTTGAATCTGCTCTTCTCATCCTCCCCTGGGGGTGGGAAGAGAGGAGGAAGTCAGTGGGAAGCAAAGGACTAGCAGATAACCTTCCCCTGTAAGGAGCCCTCCTCATTCCCTCCAGGGATGAATCCTGCCCTGATGAACACCAAGACTAACCCCAAGGAGTGGGGACAGCAGGTATTGAAGACCTTCCAGGCTCTAGCCATCAGGTCTCCTTCAAACTGGGCAGGCAGGTCTGTATAGGATGCCTTCCAGTGGAAACCACCAAAGACTTTTATTAGAAGGCCTTGTCAGTCAGATGCAGTCAAGTCTTGGGCTAGCTTTCATTGCCCACAAAGGCCACAGCTCTAGGCTTTGTTGGCTTATTGACAGCACTTTTGGGAATGGGAATTTTGTGCCCAGAGTAACCAAGAACAAAACTGAAGGAATCCCATTGCTAATAAAGATGCAGCTAGGCACAGTGGTAACTCTCAGGCACATGCACCAACATAAAAGACACAGAAAAGGGTTAAAAATGCATGTACACAAAGGTGGAGCATGTGTCAGCAGCCATGGCATAAGCATACGAAGATACACAACATGGTGAGATAGGCAAACAGAACGCTGCAGCCATGCAGGCATGGAGAAAAGCTGAGAATGCAGAGGTGCAGTCCTTCACCCTTACAGTACAGGCTCTTGATGTCTCACCTTCCACTGGCAGGGAACACAGCGAGTCCATGCTCTTCGCGGGCCGAATAGTTGCTTTTTCTGTGGAAAACAAGTTTTAGAAGAAGGCTTCAGACCCTGCAGCTTTGCCCATAAAGACCAAAGGCCACATATAGACGGGCATGCCAGGCAGATATCAAAGTTATTTTCCGTTCCCAAACATTCTCCCTCTGTATCCACACCACGCGGCTTATTACCCACAACACTTGTGCACACAGATGGGGATCTGCTAGTGCTAACAACAGCTTTGCACCTGCCGGACATGTGGAGAGCTATACTTAACCCAGCCAGTCAACACGAACTCCACTGTGAAGCACTTCAGCATCCCCAAACCTGTTATGTGCCACTTCCCGATCAAGTCAGGCTATTGGTCATGGGGGCTTTCTTACTAAACTGATATAAATGCCTTCTCACCTCTCTATATTCCTGATAGCAAATGGTAGGTTATTTTTATGTTGCATTCCCAAGCTCTTTTGCTGGCATGAGCAAAACTCTCTGAAATGCATGAGGGCAGTACACAACCTGTTTTCCTGGTCATCCTCATTGGATTTGCTTGTCCAGCAAAAAAGATGCCATTTGTCACCAGACACTCTACAGGTCTGTTTCGGAAGGTTTTGGAAGTGTGTAGCTGTTACCACTCTGAAAAGGGGGAGATGAGGGGTGGAATGTATCTGTCAAGGAAGACAAGTTAGTCTCTGGGAGCCAAAAAAGGGTCTGCAGAGCTCTGGAAAATGTCTGGGAGCAAAGTTTGCTGTTTATGATGTTGCATATAGTAGGTAAGGCAGAAAGTGAGCAGGCTTGTAGGGCTTCACTTGTTTATATAAATAAGGCTTCTGGAACTGACTCTCACAGGAGCACAGGAGAAACTCCAGCTACTCTTTGCATTTATATGGAGTCCTGGCTACCTTTTACGTTCATATGGCATGATGTCTTGAGCATTGGCTCCGCTTTCCCGGAGCAACAGAACTCAAGCTGTGGAGCTTGTGCTTTATGTGACTCGCAGACTTGTGTGCACGGACACAAACTGTGTTAAAACATGTGCTGAGTTTCAACAGCAAGTTCATCTGTTTCCTAACATTAGGCTGTAAGCTGACAACACACAGAAATACAACATGGCAGCACTAAAGCGCTGCTTCTCCAAAGCACTACCTCAGCGCCTAAATCTCTGCACACAGTTGTGCATTTCTGTGTCCTGCTGGTGAAAACGTACAACCTCCTGTCACTCAGTACTGTGCTTGGAACAAGGCTCAGCCCCCACCACCACTGGGCTCCAGTCATTCCTGGGCATCCTTGGGTTAGCACTATTTTGGGACAGAGTATTCCTTATCAAAGTGAGAAGGTGATCCCGTGGTCAAAATAGGATGGAGAGTTATTTTGAGGTCTGCCAGGGGCACCCTATGTGAGGCCATCTGTACATGCAAAAAATGGGGGAAGGCAGGGATCCAAAAAGAGCTGGATCCAGCATTTGGCTTCACACTCACTACTGAGCCAAATACAGCCTCTCTTATATGTGGTGGTAGGTAATGTTGCTAACATTAACTGTTTCACTTTAAGTCTTGCAATGTTTGGTAGTGCTCCTCCAAATACCACCTCCAAAAGTAATAGTTTTCCTCAAAGTTCTGAGAGCCAGGAGCCTTAGGAACTCCTGGTGCCTTGTTTTTCACAAAGAGACTGAACACAGTTGGTTCTTTAATGCCCTTTAGTGGAAGGACAGCCATTGACCCACTACCATGTAAGGACCATTAGGAGCCAGGGGCTAGCTGGGCTGGAACAGTGGACTAATCCAAACCTACATAGTATTTCCTAGTCCCCAAGCTTGACAGCCGAGCTACAGGAGCCTGTTTATCTCATACCAAAATGGAATATATACTATAGATATCTGAAATATCCTCCTGAAAGTGTGCTTCTCAACATCATGTGGAAATGAGATTTGCATGAACCCAGGCAATAAACATGACCCCATTAGACTATCTCAAGTCTAATGGTATTAGTGTCATGTGGATACAGGTTGCCCCATGCTATCACTACCACAGGAGAAAGCTGCGGGGAGAAATACTGAACTGAAAAGTGTGTTCTTACCAGAAAGCTTCTGTGCCCTTACGAAGACACTCCCATTTCGACTCAGTTTAGACTTTGATTCTGAGCCAGAACGGCCCAAGTTAAATATTGACTTCCATTTCTTGGACTTGGTAGATAATTTTCTCCTGGAAGGAAAAAGGGCTCAGGAGGTTACCAAACCCTAGAGACTCTTGTCTTTTTAATATCCTACAAAAGCCTCTGAGCTATCTCACTTCAACATTGTCTGTCTTGTCTTCTTACATCCAAGTCTTACTTTTCTGGAAGTGATTTATCTATATTGCTGATTAAACCATGTCATGGATGGAAAGACACCTAAGCCGGCTCTTTACAGAGTTGACTCTGGCATCATCCATATCAACTGTGATTAACTGAGCAATCAACCATGCTTTTCTTCAGAAGAGAGAGACTGCTGAAGCTCGAACTACCTTGCAACACAGTAAAGAAAAACTACCTTTTAAACAGGTTTTAATGACAGAATGCAAGATAAATTCCAGAGAAGTGATGGACCTAGCGCTATTGCTCAGTGCACACAGCTATCCTTTAGTATCAATGTGTCTCCTAGTTTTTATGAATTTGTGAAAAGGATCCCTTAATGCAAACTAGCTATTAATGCTCCTCAGACCAACATTCATTTAATCATAAATGTTACATGATCATATGCAAGTGTAATGTACTAACCAAAAAGGAAGAGGCTTAAAGGAATCTCTGACAACTGTCAGAGGAAGTGGCACACCAGTTCCCTGTGTCTCTTTGGAAATCCCAGCTTTAAATAGAAAGAAACTGCTACTTCTGAAGCCTGTTTTCTTCTATATGCTTTACTTCATGATGCTCTGTTTCAGTTCCCTCACATACCCATTCTGACTCCCTCTTCAATCTCCTTTCTTCCAGAACAAGAGCCCTCTTATCTCCCTGTCTCCCAGTTCTCCATAATGGGCTTTCTAGCCCTGTAGTTCTACTTTTCTTTCAGATCAGTACTCAGCACAAATCAGCGCTACAGAAAGGATTAATATCTTGGGGATAGGACTGTTCTCTTCAAGTGAGGAAGGAAAATGAACTCTAGAGGGGTAATACACCCTTTGTCTTAAGCTGCTTATCTTCTTGCTAGTATTGTTAGATGGCTCCTTTTTGCTTTAATATATCAAGTGGAAATAAATATCTTTGCTCAGGGCTTTATGGGTCTGTAGATTAATAACCTTCCTGCTGCATAGGCTGTAATCTCTCAGAACCAGGCAGTAGAGGAGCCATATATTCACAGATAGATCAAATAGATAAATACTTTTGCTGGGCAGCAGTCCCAACAACTGCAGCTGAAATCAGACCCTTCTCCTGGCATAGGTGCCACTATGTGAATATCTCTCCATGCTAGGAGTGAAAATTGGCCTTATTGATTGGCTATGGGTGCAGAGGAACATGGAGAGCGATGAAGCGGAGCAGGTCAATCCCACCAGGCGCGCCATGGACCAGCTGCCAGCAGGTGGAACTCGTAGGAGAGATGTGTCTGGACCTGCTCCACGTTCAGCCCATGTTTAGCCAAATCCTGAGCTGACACAAGGATGCAAAGACAATTAATTCCTCCTGCAGGAGGTTCTGGCCCATTGGAGGGAAGAGGAGTAATGGAGCTATGAACCCAGGAACTGCAATGCTTCTCTCTTTTGAGAAGGGCACAGTATTTTGCCTCAGTGGTGTATGTAGGTTTATGTGTGCAGGTGAGGGGTATCACACTAACAAAAGGCTCATTCCGGATCACCCTGGGGAACCTGCATTTCTCTGTTTGCACTTCAGACTCCTCTTGGCACTTACTTGCTGTCGGGGAGGTCAACAACTGTGTGGAAGAGAGACCCGGTTACAGGCACAATTTCAGGCAAGCTGTTCTCCCTCCTCTCCTTCCGAGCAGGGTGGGATGCAGACAGGCTCCGTGCCTGCGCTTCTTCCAGGCTCACCAGTTTCATGGGCAGGGAAGCCGAGGGGAGGGTCAGGCTTTTCACCACCGATGCGCTCTCTAAAAAGCAAGGACAAACATTCCAGCCTGGGGTGAGGATAGACAGGAGCGAGAGCTTCATGCTGTTATTTGACTGGAATATCTCCTGCAGAGGGGGGAAAGGAGTGGCACGTGCAGGCAGAGAGGCTCTTTGTCAGATAAGTCTTCCAGCTCCTCAGCAACCTTATCCATCTGAGTGCATTCCCAGCAGGGGCTATGCTTGCCAGCCAAAGGCTGTGTTGCATGGACTTGCTGCCTCTGCTGGAGATGCTTTAGTGTGAGAGACACCACTGAAAAACACCAGGATTCACACACATTCCCCTTTCTCCTTCCTCCCTGGATTCTGGAGCACTTCAGTCCCCAATCCAAAGCTGGTGACTAATTCTTTCTCTCACTTCCACATCTTTCTCCTTGTCTTCTTCCAGAATGGGGGCCTGCTCTAAAAATCAGCATTACTTTCATCTTCCTAATGCATTTCAGGGCTATGGAAAGCAGTGTGACCAATAGTCCTCTCTGCTTACATAAGCACTAGCAAAGTCAGCTTCCCATATGTCACCACAATAACAACCCTGCCCTAAACAGACCACCTCAACGTGTATGAAGGAAGCACAGTGGACTTGAATCTACTCAGTACTTAGCCAGTGCAAACTACTGCCTGTGCCGAAGGGCTGGGTGAAGGGGCACTTTCCCACTAAGAAATCAACTGGGACCATCAGCATGTTCCTTTCTTGACTCCATACTGCTGTTAAAGGCCAGCAATGCTCAGCACTTAGCAAACCTGGACAAGTTTTAGGCCAGTGACCTGCAATACAACTGGAAGACTTGGAATTTACTAGACAGCGTTTCGCTACACTGCTTAAGGCAGTAAAAGAGCAGTTCTTCACTCCGTGCCTTCTGCCAGGGCATAAATAAGGGCATAATAATGGCACCAGCAGAGCAGGATCGAGCAGGATACCACACTAGACATGCAGGCTCTGGGGAGAGACTAGCAAAGAATGCCACATGTTAAGGGCAAGGTGGATGAAATGAGCTGACACGGGGCTGGAAAGCAGAAAGGTGGTCAACCCCTCACTTCTGAAGGTATTAAAAGTCCTCCCAGTGCATAAAACTGAAAGATAGAAAGATGCATATTTCTGAAACGATACGAAATCACAGTAGATCCAAGCCCTCTCATTTCCCAGGCTTAAAAGCATTTTGACAAATCTGTCACTAAGCAACAAAATCAGCATCTCTGGAAACTGTTGATGTCCCAGGAAAAGAAATAAATCTCTTTCAAAAAATGTCTCCAGGTAGAAGACATAACTTTTAAGAACACAAGATTAAGTTTTATTCTGGATTGTGGCCTCTGACTTGGGTGGATAATGGTGGCTTCAGGTCAGGTATTCTTGGTATGAGCAATTGTAACTGGGGGAGCCTGAAAGAAGAACTGAGACTGTGCTTAATGGACTTTGAGAGAAAACTTAGACCAGGGACTGAGAAGAAACCTTTCCTTTTGTGGAAACGGTTAAGTTGGGTGAGATCATGCAAAAGACAAGCCATAGAGCAAAATGAGAGCACACTGAAGAAGGCTGGTATTCAGAAAGAAAATGCTGGAGATAGGGATGAAGAGGACAAGAGAAATGAGGGATTGGGCTCAAGGTGTCTTAGGGGGAGTCTGTGAGGATAGTGAGAGTTGATGTGCTGGAGATATTAGTTGAAGGGGGTACAGTTAAAGCTGGAATACATGGCAAGCGACATGTGGAGTAGTGCAAGGAGGTTGTTACCAATGTTCTCTGCAGAGCTGGCTTTCCTGTTGTTGCTGAAGATCTGATCCACGTGATTCAAGATGAACTCAATCACCAACTGCTGCACTCGTACCTCCAGGAAAGCTGCATCCCCATTGCAGCCAACTGCCTCAATCTCCTTTGACCTGCATGAGGTAAGAGGTAGACTAGGACCCAGCATTGCCACACCCAGCCCTTGGGAAGGAAAGACCAGCTTTCTTCCCGCAAGGCTTGGAACAGGAGTGTTTGTCCCAGTCTTGCTGCACCTCTTGGTCTCCTTCCCTCACAAGCCCTCATCCTCGTTCTAGTAAAAACCATTTTCCCTGTTTTCTCTGCCACATTTGTTATTTTCTTTCCTGCCTGTGTTATTTCCCCTACACTTAGCTTTTACATCCTTCAGCAGCAGATAAACTGTGACTCTCAAACTCCATTCTTCTTCCTCTTTACTCCTCTTCTAGCTATTTCAAAGTTGGACCTGAAAGACAACACTCGAACACCTTCAAACACTCTCTTCAGATCCCTATTCAACGTTTCAATCATCTCTCAGTGAAATCCCTTAGAACCTTGCTCAGGTCTTCCCCACTCCAATTTTGTCAATGCTTAGCCATGTGCCCCAGTAGTCTATTCTCTGCCCTCCTGCTCTCCCACATTCTCACTCTTGCTCTCAGCAAAGAAACATTCCTTATCTTGACATGCCAAAGTGTTGCTGAAGAAATTATCTCTGGGCAATGGATCCTTTGTAAAGTTAATGGCTGGTGTGTTAGATAATAGCTTGGGGCATCGCCAAGAGGATAACCCGGTAAGGAGACTGAGGTTGTATTTGTTGCTTCTCTCTTTTCCTCCCTGGGTCTTGTACTCATTAAAGATTGCAAAAGGAAACAGACTGCAGGGTTTTTTTTGACAAGGACAGATGCTAGAATGAAAGTACCTCAGCAGTAAAGGTCCACTTTGCGATATTCAATAGAGTCAACATCTGATTCATTTTCAGAACCTGGTTTTGCCTGGTTTGTGATTTAGAATGAAATAACTCCTTAGAGAATGCATTTCAGGCCTGTACCTCTCCAGTTATTGTCCCTCCTGCCCTCTCCCAACCCAGGACTACCCCCCCCCCCCCCAGTTCTGCTATTGTCCCTCTCCTGCCCAGCTACAGTCCTGGACTCTCCCTCAATACATGGGAGGATGAACAGGGAAGGAATTTAAACAAGATAATACAAGATATTTTTTTCTATTTTTTCCCCCAATATGTTATTTCTTCTCATTCTGTTTTTCTCTACAGCGCATCAGCCCAACCTCTGCCTGAATCTTATCTGGACCTCTTCCCAGCAGACTGCCAGGCGTAGAAAACACCACATACTAGCTGGTGGTCTAGTGATCTCACCCTATATGCCATCTTGAGCCCACCAAGCTTATCTCACATCTTCTGAAGCAGATTTGGGCACAGACCTGTGTTATTATTGCCCTGTTGCTCCCCCTTCCAAACCTTGCTGTCTCTCACCACCCCACTGCAGAAGCGCTGGCACTGTCAGAAATGTCATCTCCGTTCCACAGTGATGAGCTAACTCCTCATTTTTAAATCGATGTGCTTAACTTGCAAATAACAGCTTTTTTATTATAAGAAACACACAAACCCACAAGCTTCCTTGGCTGCTTCAGTAAAACCTCGGATTCTTCAACCTGGAAGAATTTTTTTCTCCTTTAAAAGCTGTTTGCTCTCAGTTGTTCTGCTTTTCCCTGTCTTTGCATTTCCCTCAGGTTCTGATGCTCCCATTGGAGCTCAGTGTGGTGCTCCGGGCTTTATACTGTACCTGAGGAGATTGGGAGCCCACACCAAGGCCAGGTTTCTGGTATGCATGTTGGTCATGTTGCTGAAGGAGGCCAAGTGAGTCAGGTGCTTGATCAGGTATTCCAGCGTTCTGCAGTGGTTTCACATGAAGGAAGAAAAGTGTGTCAAGTGTCTGCAATGGTGCAACAAGCCATTGGATGGGAGAGAGGACTTACAACACTAGCATTTACAGGGGATGGCAGTGAACACCTGAACAACTCTGCTCTGGTGTGGCCAAGGATGAGGCACGAACCAAACAATCCTTGTCATGGTCGATGGGAGACAGAATGGGATGCTGCAGAGGTGGAGGGCTTAGCTCTTGCTCAAGCACCTCTATAGGGGTCATACATGGGGAAGGAAGGTGATAGACTGAGGCAGGGAGAGCTTGTTTGATCTCTAACAACAGTTTGTTTGGTGATATTTAAATGCCAGATGAATTGTCAGATTTGGAAATACTGAGTCAGCTTTTGGGAATTAACTGCTGGAAATGAACTGCAGTGGTGTTTCAGGCAGCATTCCCTGGGGTAGGGGTCACCACACTGTTCAGCAGCTCGGTGAGCACGTTCTCACCTGTAATGCGATGGTGGGAGCTCCTGGATGACATTCTGAATTCGTGCCAACTGCTCGTCCTCGGGGAAGCGGGATACTGCTTCCTGCGGAGATAAAGGAAACAGTCCGCCCTGGCAGTGCACTCAGGGGAAAAGGAAGAGAGATAAGGAAGGTCACATGAGACAGCCTGTCTCAGAGGGCATGCTCTCTTGTTATCTTACAGAGCTACTGGTAGAAGCTAGCTTGTGAGAGATTTGCTGCGCTGTTATTTCATGCCTCAGTACATCCTTCCCAGGCATTGGGACATGGTGGTCAGTGTTCTGGGGAGAGGGGCATTTAAGGACTGAGCTTCAATTAGGAGTTATGTTTCTTTTCCTTCTTTCTTTCTTTCTTTCTCTCTTTCTTTCTTTCTTTCTCTCTTTCTTTCTTTTTGTTCTTTTTTCCTTTTTTAACTCGGACAGGGGTATGTGGGATAGAAGGAAAGAGAGAAATGAAAATAATAGGAAAATTGAATAATTGTGACCCCTTCCTCCCTGAAACTGTGTTAAAAATAAAGATCTTTCAAGCCCTGTGTTATGAAAACAGCTTGATTATACATGTTTCATATCCTTCAAGAGAAGCAGTAGTTTGGCTGTCAGATGAAGATAGCCGTAGGGATTGTGTGAGTTTGAATCTTTTAGAATGGGTGAAGCCTTAGCAAAATCGCTGTCCAGGTGGATTAATACGTTCTTACACTCAGGGTTAGACTAAGTTAGACGGAATCAAGGTTATACATCACTGAGTAATTGTCTACAGACCAAGAGCTTAGTGAGCCACGGTAAGCTTTGGTCTGCATTCCTAGGAGTTTACTGCATTGGTATTCATCTGCTCAGCTATTCCCTTTCAATATTTGTGCTGGGGAAGGACAAACCACCAATGAGTTCAACCAATGCATGGCTGGCTGGAAGCTCCTGCCTACCCTACTGCCGCTGGAGTTTGGAGCGAGTTCAAAGAAAGATGCTGGGACCCACGCTGCAAGCAGAAGCTTTGCCTAAAGACAGACGTCAGCACTGCTAGGACAGGAAAGGAAGGAAATAACCCATCTCAAACCACCCGCTGCTTAAACATTATGAACCTGAAATTACCAGCCACAATGAGAAAAGCATCTTGTGTCAGTCACTACAACATCCCCACTGATAAGGCTGCCATCTCTCTTCTGGTCACTGTCCTTTTCCCAGCAAACCACTTCTCATGTACAACCACTAGCAAACCAAACATTGCCAGTTGAAAGCCCAGAGATGGATATGAATCATGTTTTACTTCCTAACACTGGGAATTGAGAACTATGACCTCTGGTTTGAACTTCTCACTGGTATGCTGGCAAAAGAATATGAGTGAGCTCACTGGTTTGGTGTACATGACATGGGGATGCACTTGTTTTGCCCAAATTGAAGGTAAGTTAACTCCTTCTAGTATTCTTACCCATAACTACAGCTCCTTTTTTAAAAACAAACCAAAACCAAAATCTATTGCAATCAGCCCAGAAATCCTAAGCATAAGAACTCTTGTGATCTCCATACAAGGTTTCCAGATGAATGGCCTTGGCCAAAGATGGATATGGAAGGAAATATAAACTTCAACTGGTGTTGCATCTGAAATATTAGATTTCAATTAGATCGCACATGGTATTTTCTCTCCCAGTGATAATTTTCACTGTCATATTTAACTTCCAGGTCTCAAAGACCTAATGCTTAGACAGCAAGTGAATATCAGCTTCTTTGAGGTCATGACCCATTCAAACCTCTGAGACACATTTCGGACCCATACATGTTGTGCATTTGAAAGCTGAGCTCCCCTCCAAAACTCAGGAGAGCATAGAATTCCAGGAAGATCCAATAACTCCATGTATTACATGTCTGTTAATCAGAGTATGAATTTATGTAATATGGGATTTTATTTACTCCACTGGTGATGCTGGGAGTGCACAATTCATATGCACTGGTTTAGTCCAGAGAGAAGGTAGGCTTGGCCTCCCATAGCTGATTTGCACAGGGAGTACTTTGTCCTTTTATGCCTTAGGCTGGAACAAGCTAAGCAGAGTCAACTTGTCTCTCCTGTGAAACAAGCACCCATCACTAGAATAGCAAGCTGGAGAGCATGAGAGGCCATCGTTTTGCAAAAGTTAATAGCCAGTGAGGTCATGACTGGGATGTTCCATCTATGAACTTGACCCAGTGATGACCAAAAGGCCAATCCCTCCCCAAGTCATTAAGAACTTGACTTTCCTTAGCCACAAATGTCTGAATCACTCTGGTGACTCAAAGTGGAGCCTATCCCATCTCAGAGACAGCTCCGACTGAGTCAGCCTGGGATTAGCATGCATTCTTTACTCCTACCAGTGCTCTTCTGCCGAGGCACAGCTGCCACCATTCCCTGTTCAGAAACCCCACGCATACACATGCTCCTAGCAGGTTTGCTGCTCCTTGGGGAATTGGTCTTCTTTCTTTCTTTCCTGCTGGTATCTGACTGTACTTCCTGTCAGCTGGGTTACCCATTATAAATCCCTACTGCGCAGACTTGGTGAATAATGGATTTTCTGGCCGAGCAGACAAACTGAAAAGCCAGAGATTTAAAAAACCCACACTTTTAGGTCAATCCAAAGTGATAACATTCTGGGGAGCTGGCACAAGATGTTAAAACGCAATTGTTCTAGGTTGACCAAAGCATCACACTCAACCATAAGTGTAAGAAATGCTCATTTAAATTTGGGGCCGTTTAACCCTTTCCTGAAAGACATTTTCTTTAAGAGCTAGATGTGTTGATTTAATGTCGAACCATTTCTTTTAGAAAGCATTTGTAAAAGAAACATTTGGACAGCTACAGAAATGCCTCCCCTTTTGTTTTTGAATAAAGCTATTTACCAAATGTATCTACCAAAAATCTGCAAGTCATCATCATTCCCAAAGTGCACTTTTCAGCAAACATTCTTTCCTAAAAAAGTTTCCATCTAAATCTTCATGGTTCCTTTCGAGCATTTCTCTTTCATAAATCAGTAGCGATAGCCAGAAAGACAGCAGCCAAATAGCTTCAACAAGAATGAGGCTCATCAGTAACTCTGAATAGTTGAATAATACCCTGTGTTTGCAAGATTCTAGTCATCCTGAATGTCTCTAGGATGGAGATCCTATCTGATATTCTCAGGATATCTATATCCTGAGGATACAGGTCAATTGTTCATATCTGCTCAGAATTTTGACTGGAGTTTCAACTATACATCACCTTGAAACACAGACCAATCTTACTTAAAATTTGTCATTGAAACAGCAAGATGCCTAAGACTATTGCATATCTGTCAGGCATCACAGCGAGCCAATTCCCAGCCCACGTTCCATAGCTCAGCTGTAGTCCCTAACAACTACCTGACTTCTTATAGTAGGTTACTGCTTGGCTCATCCCATCTGTCTTAGCCCTAAAGCAAGCCCCCTTGGACAGATCTGCCTGCCTCTTCCCACAGCAGGCAATAGGGAGCTTTTGGAGAATGCCTTCTTCTTGTGAGGATCCCATGGATCTCTCTCAGTGCCTTCCGTGCCACAGCAGTGCCACTTGTAAGTACTTGATTCAGGATAGAGGCAGTGCAGACAGCACCACCTGAAGCTAAGGTTGGTTGCCACTTCCCTTTTTATTTGGACATGAGTTTGCAAAACTCCTCTACAACATCACTGGCTATGTCTGTCCTCTCCCGGCAAATGGGAAAGAGTAGGATGACAAGAAATCCCTAACAAAGGACGGATGTTTCTAAAACTGAGGAAACATTCCCATCCACCCATACCAGTTGTTTTAAGAAGTTGGTGGATTCTCATAGCTGAAAATCCACTCCTCTGGCACGAAAGAGTTCAGCCTGAATGACTGGATTTAGATTTATTGGTGCCATAAAGAACTGAAAGTCAATTTAGAGCAGTAAGAAGCAGAAGACTAACAACAAGCATAACTTGTTGCACCACCTTTGCATAAAATACTGTCATCAAAATTAGCCAACTCTCTTAAATAGAATGCAGGCTTTGTGCTCTTATTTTTCAGCTCCCCCGCAGTCTGCTCCTAGGCTCCAACTGAATCCATGTATAATCTTGTTGTTTTGCAGAACTGAGTAACTACTCTTTGAATTATAATCTCTTTAAACAAGGTTAGAGATGTCTGTTTGGCCAGCTGCCACTTCCCTCTGCCATTTGTATTTATGACATGACTGTGATAGACCTGATACGCTGTAGCTGGCATAACCCCTGTCATCATTTGTACTCTGATAAACTGTGTGGAAAATGCTACAGATGCAGAAAAGTTGGTGCTTTATACATGGGCTGAGCAGTCAGTTTGTGCAGGCATCAGGGACTGTTGGAGGGACAGGGATGAGGAAAACTCACCCTTGTGATTATGATCATAAGCCCCAGGTGATCCAGAAACCTCTCAGTGATGGACAGTAATTAGAAAAAGAGAATGAGTAATTCTGGGAGGAGGTGTACAGTGGGGAGAAAGAGTAACAGCAGGGAAGAGATGCAGTGGAAAAATGAGCAAGATGAAGTAGAGGAAACAGCAGAGAAACTGAGAAATAAACATGTAATGCTGGAAAGAAACAAGGATGGGGAAAGAGAGCCAGTACAAGACAAGAAGGGAAGAGCACTGAGAAGCATTTATACTGATGCAAAGAATCCAGGACACTGGAGCGAGCCCCAAACAGCTATCACGGAGGAACCTGCAGCACATCCACACTGCTGGAGAGGAATAAGAACAGCAAAAGCGTCTCACCGTGAATTTCTTGTAGAGTTCATAAGTGAGGAGAGGGTTGGGCAGTTCCCTGAAGTACAGCTTGCAGAGTGACCCCACGCAGTGGATGTCCTGGAGGTAAACTTCCCTTGTCAGATCCGGGCATTGATCAGACACAAACTCTTGTCTGAAACAATACAGAAACATAACAATGTAGGCAGTAAGAGCTGTAGCATCCCACTGTTCCACCCTAAGTCCTCTTCTGCAGCTAGAAGAAACATCAATATGGAAAGCAGAGATGTTTCTGCAGCCTGGCCCAGGTTGTCTCCTGGGATCAGGTCCTGAGGTTTCAACTAGTCTCTGGTTTTGCTAACATAGTCCCACGAGTAGTCCCCAGATGATATAAAGACATTGCTTTGTCTTGAATTGAGAGAGAACAACTCAGCATTTGCACTGAGCCCTCCATGCCTTTCCCATACAGGGGGAGATATTTTTCCTGTGTCATGGGCTAATACCTGAAATATATTTCCATGTTGTGAGCTTCAGAGGCAGTTCATCTTCTGCATCAGTGCAGAGCTCTGTCGGTCCCAGTGTATGCCTGAGGGACTATGTCGTGGTTTAAATCCAGCTGGCAACTACGTACCATGTAGAAATGTACCATGCAATGTGACTGAATCCTGCTGGCACGCAGACGGGTTGCCCTTACCTCAGCTTTTGTATGTTGGATGTCACTCCTGAGAGGCGGTAGATCCCATCCACAATGCCATGAGTCTCAATGAACTCCGCACAGCTCTTCAACACGTAGGGGACTAGGAGGGGAAAGCAAGTCAAGATGCCCAATGAATACACACTGAGAACCTCCATGAGTAACCACAGGGAGGACAGTTTGATGGAACAACAGCAGAGGTTCTCTACAATGGGAGAAATACAGGGCAGACCAAAAATAACCCCCACAAACTGGCCATAACCAATTTGCAAAGTAAGGATAAGCTACGGTTGTGCCTTGCCACGCTCACTGGCATATGACAGTGACTAACCCTGCAGTCACAGAAACCTGTCAGAAGAAAGATAGAGTTTCTCGCTCTCAGTTTTCCTTTTTCTTCCAGAAAAAGAAGTAATTTCATTCTAATTGAAAGCATGAGGTAAAGCATGAGGTCCTGGGAACCTCCCCCCTCCCCAAGATAGAGTTCCAGCCTCGCTGAATTGTGCCAAAAGGTCTGATGGGCCTGGATAAAACTCAGAGAAGCATTCACACTTCCATATAAGCCTACAAACCCACAGTTCAGTGCTCATAAACCCTCAGAGAGGGGGTATACAGTTCAAATATTGATGAGATCTGCACACTGACAAAATCTGACATTAGCTTCAAATGAACTTCATCAACATAACCAGCCAAAGACTTAACCAGTCCTAAAGCCAAGAGCAGCCTGAGGCACAACATTTACATCCAGGCCTGGACCCAAAGCATATGTTTATTTTTCCCTTATTATATAGGTATAGGAAACCCTCGTCTCTTGGTCAGACCAAGCCTCCCTGTCCCCACTACTATAACAACCCTTGCTGTAACAATAACAGTAAGAGAGCCCTTCCTTATTAGGTGCTAGAAACTACTGTGTATTTAATGCAATGTTTCACACAGCCATAAGCACAAAAGTCAGTAAATGCAATAGTTAAAGTTCCCTGCCGTAATGCTGACTCTGCTGCTCTGTGCATTTGGAAAGCTGTATGGAAGAAAACAGGCTAAGCCATACATTGGAAAGCCAGGCACAGCAATTGCTGCATCTTTGTGACACCACAAAGATAATGCCTCTGCCTGGACCTTCTCTGAGCTCTACTGCTTGAAGTTCAGGATCACACTGACATATTAACCTGTGCTTCATAAGGTGGTATCCAAAGACAGCACTCCAAGGACAGCCTGAACAAATAACAGCTGGTACATTATTGCATTTCTCATGGATGCCACTGAGGCCAGAGCCAGCTCAAGAGTGGACTTGTCCCTGCTAAGCAGCCCAGGGCATAGGCCTTGGTGAGGAGGGCTCCCAGGCAGGTGCCTACCTATTGACACACTATTACTGAGCCCAGTCAGCCAGGGGAGTGCTACCCTTCTGCTCCTGACTCTCACCAAGGGAAGTAAAGAGGTCCTTCTTATGTGTCCCTTCTCTTTTGGCAGGGATATATAAAATGACAGGGATTACTTGGGAGCCTGAATGATTCAAACAGACTCATAATCCTCAGTTAAAGCAGCCTCTCCAAAACAACAGGGAAAATTTGACTTTATGGTTTTTTGAACAGGGACTCATAATGCAGGTACATCAGTCATGCTGGGTCACAACCAAAGCCTTGGGCTGATTTTTAAGACCCTCAAGTTGTTGGTCTAAGACTAACAGGACCCAGCCTACAACAATGTTCATGAAACCACCAAGAGAACAGGTGAAGTCTACACAGTCAGAGCTTTGTCCACAGCAGTCATAGAGCTATATGATCTTCAAGGACATTTGAAAAGGCATATCAACGCATGGGGAGCATTCCTTTCAGTGCCTAGAGCACCTGCTTCCTAAGAGGACTAGACAATGTGGAAGGAGATGAGTAAAATGAAAGTATGGCATTTCCTTAAAATCCTACCAAGAAAAGCCCAAGTGACACATCAAGAAAAAGGACCTTCCTATTTCTGAGAAAGACCTGATTATCTGTAACTGCAGTAGGGAACTCAGATCATATGATGATGAATGTACATACTAGAAATAAAATACATAAAGAAAATAGGCAAATGGCTTCAGGCATCATCTTCAATTCTGGGTGGTCAGGCTGTACCATCTTTGTGGCAGGAGCTATGCATACATGGCATGTTAAGATTTCTTTCTTGGTAAGGGTCTCTGGGGGTAAATCTAATGCAAACAGCATAAAAGAAAGCTAGGCAGATCCAAGTTCACTTCAGATCTATTTGGGTGGGGGAATGGGTGAAATGCATTATGCTGCCTCGGAAAAGAAGATATAATTGAACAGGAAACCTATTTGATCAGGACAGCCACATGAAAAGGTTTGTTTAAAAATTAAACAATCTTTCTATTGACAAACTTCATAGGATGGTGCCTAGCTGCTATAAAAATGGGGTCCACGCCCACAGCGCCCTTTATTAGATAGAAACCTCCACGTTAAGAATAAGCACACCATCTAAAACTATATGGACTGATGTTTGTTGTGACTGAATTGACCTCTTGAAAGTAAGACCTATTAAATCCCACTGGGGTTTTTGCTGAGTCTGAAGTTTCCTTGGGATAAATTAGGTCAAGAGGCCTCAGGCAGGTAAGCAAACCTCTTCCACACGAAGCAGAGAAGGGCAGATCCATCTGTTGAGGACTGGTAAGAAAAAATAAGGGGCATGAGGGGAATAATCTGTCGCAAATGTATAAGATTCATCCCATTTTTAAAAGTGGGTGAAGACTCCACAGTAGAGACAACCTACAGACTGCAGATATGCACTGAGCTCTGCCAGCATCTGTCACTCCAGCCCTGCAGTTTTCCCTGCTTTTCATCCCTGAGCTTCTCACCTATCTCTGCCAGTACTCTTCACTCATCATATACAGACACACAGAGCCAGATACACCAAAATGTGTGGTGGTTTTGTGATGTCAAAACCAAATCCCACATAGGACACATTTCACTTGGAACTGAAAATCACAGGCTTTGACCTCAGATCCCTGGAGGTGAAGGGACTGCATCGGCTTCCTGCAAAGCGAGCCCCTAAATGCAGAGCTTGTGTGAAACTGGAGCACAATAAATGTTTTCTTTGAGCAGGACCTGAAATTCCTGAGCAGCTCTGATCTCCTGCAAAGCTGAATCTTTCGGGCACTTGGGGGAAGCTGAGGTCAGAGCAGCAGTGAGCAGCTCCTTTCCATTTCCAGGGGGTTTCTGAGGTGGTTTGGTTATTTCAGACATGGCTCCTGATGAGCCACAGCAAACGCTGGGATCAGCCCTGAACGTGGGGATGTACAGGCTCTAGCATGTACTTTACAACGGGATTCTATCAGCGTTACGCATATAAATCACAGATCTGGGTCTCTCCTGAAGGAAGATTGGGCACGGATGCGGGTTATAGCAGGGGGTGTGTGTGTCCATGCAGGCACAGAAAGGGGTGGGTCAGGGGGTGTCCAATCTTAACACTTCTATAATTAAAACTGTGCTGGAGGCTTAGAAGTTGGAAGAGGCAGCTGGTGTCACACAGACCCTGCTTGTTCTGCCAGACAGCCAAACTGTCCTTGTTTAAAAATACAATAGAAACCAGATGGAGGAGGAGAAGAGAGCGTGGAGCAAGGCATCAGTCAGAAGGGAAATTGAGTTATAAACACACTGCGCACAAAAGACAATACTCTTCCCCTAGACAAAAATAAACCAGAAGGGCAGTCACAGTAACTCCTTCCACTCTCACTGGATAGCACCTCGGTGTACAAAACATTCACCCTCCCCAGAGTCTTTTCCATGACCACAGCTTATGCCACCTCCTTTACACATGTGCTACTCCTGCTAGGTCAGTTACTGTGACTGTGACTCATTCCCCTTAACAATTTCTCCAGCTTCTAGTGCCAGCAATGGGCACTGAGCATCTCTCCTCCCAGCATTATGGGATGGAGAGGGAGGGCTCTCCCTTCTCCTGTCCTTCCCAGCCATGGTGCTACCACCCAGCAAACCTCCCCATCAGCAAGTAAGGCACTCACTGTTTGCCTGACTGACAAAGGTTTCATCTGGCACAAGACTGAGCGTTTTGGATTGAAGCTTTAAGCATGTACCTAACTAAACCACTAAGAACCCAAGTAGGAGGGAGTCCCCTCACCTAACAACCATTGTGAGGATGCCGTCTGGGCCTCCCACCAAAGTATCAAAGAGTGAGAAAGACCTTGCTCCAACAGGAGATGCAAGCAATGCCCTACAGACTTTAGTGCTGCCTTCTAGAGGAAACTGAGTCACTGTGGACTACAGAAGGAACCTAGGGAGGAGGTTGCTAAGTCAGCTACCATAACTAGTCAATGTGAATACTGCCTAGTAAGACTGAGCTTAAAATTAGCTAACCTGGACTGGGTCGTGTGTTCAGGGTGCATTCTACTGAGTTGGACTGAATAGCAGCAGGTTCAATTTGGTTTACTTTATCCTTCTGTTGTTCTCCCAGAGGGCTCCTTGCAAGGATAAAAAAGAGTGACAGAGCTACTCAGGTCATCCTTAGTAGTTGGTTTAGGCCACATGGAGGATATTTCATGCCCCCTCTAATTTTGTTTTAATTTTAGATCAAGTAAAGGGAGGATAAAAGCAGACCTTTCATTTCACCTGAAATACCAGCTTTTTGATGTTTCACTTGCAGGAAATAGTTTGGTTGTTGGTTGGGTTTTCTTATTTCTCAAAAGAATGAATCCTGTACCATAAAAAAAACCAAGTGAACATTTGGTTTTGTTACATATTAGTATTTTTTAAACTGGCTTCCATTACCCTCAATAGCAGTGCATGCTTCCTCTCACGCTATGTCAATAGCATGACAATAAAGGTCAAACTAGTCCCTTGTTTCAATTTAAATGACTAAATTAGGAAATACTTCTTCCTAAAAAAAAGGAGTGTTTCAGTCTGTACCAAGCAGGAGTTGTTATTTTGTATAAACAAAATCAACCAAACAATACACATTATAGAGCATACTCATAGATCGACTTGGCCTTCTAATCACAGGAAAGGAAAAGCATTGTATAAATGGCAACATACTTGAGAGTCAGCATCTCTGATATGACAGTTTTCTGTATTTCCTGATGCTTCCTACTTTAAATCATGAGCT